GATTGTAAGCCGCCCTGAGTCCCCTCAGGGAAAAGGGCGGCCTATAAATGTGCAATAAATACAAAAATACAAATACAAATCTTGCATTTCATTTGTAATATAGAACTATACTAACTAAAATTTATCAATAGGCATTTTTTTTAAAATCTCTCCTGCAGTGTATATCAATAATAAAGAACTCTGCCTATTTAAAACCATGCCACCCTTTGGAAATCACTGCAAGCTAAAATAATGCAAGTGAACATAAAAGTACCTTCAAAAAGCATAGATTACAAATGATAATTCACAAATTGGGAAATAACGCAACCACAAATTCAGGGAAACATTAAATGAGAAAATGTCAATCACCTTTCTCTAATAGGCTTAAATTCCTACATTAGGCAGTTTCAAAATATTTGACTTTAAAATATATTTATATAACTTTTTCCCCATTTCATTACATACCTACAAATAATTACTTTCTTTTCAAATTACAAATAATAATTTGTCCTGTGGAATCATTTATTTATTACAATATCTAGCAATACATTTCCAAATGGCAGAAACTTACCATGTTGCTTCTGCTTTGGATTGTACATCTTCCACCAACGAAATATAATAAATCCATCTTGGATTCTAAAAAGTATTTACACAAATAAAGTATTTAAAACAGCTCTTAAAGTGTAGCTATATTCCATATGCAATTAATAAGAAATTGTTTCAAATAACACAAAGGTAAATTTACCATCCTGTTTTTGGAATCTGGAATACTCTTTGGAATACCAAAGAGTTGAAATATATGCATTCAGAGCTTCTTTGCAATTTGTTCAAGGACATGAGCTTTTCAACCCAAATCTGCTCACAGAAAGATTTATCTTTATAACTTTCACTAAGGTAAGGAAGAAGGGAATTTCTATGCTGATTCTACACCTATCATGAATTCCTGGATTTATAGGCAGTCTTTGACAATTGAGCCCAACATTTCTGTTGCCAAGCAAAACATTTGTTAAATTAATTTTGCCCCATTTTATGATTTTTCTTGCCCTTTCTTGTTGTTAAGTGAACCTGGCTTTCCCATTGACTTCGCTTATAAGAAGGTCGCAAGAGATGATCACATCAATTTAACAGCCTATCGGATTTTACTTTCATAAAGTAATGTGAAATTATTGTTATCTCAAAGTCTCTTGCCTTTAACCACTCCAAACAGATTCTCTCAACTCTGATAGATCATGGATATACTGAAAGTCAAGCCATTCGTGCTTATATTTCTATATCTTTAAAATTAGGTTTTTAACTCATTTAGACTTTTTTTTTATGTAAAAGCTAAAATATTCTTCATGTTGTGTGCCAGTTGCACCTTCTCCTGGATCAGGAGGCTCACAGGTCACTCATGTCATAATCACCTCCAGATTGCTCTACTGTAATTGCATTACATGTGGTTGCCCTTGAGAGTATCTGGAAGTTTCAGCTGGTGCAGAATGCAGCAGTGCAGGCAAAAAAAATGTGCTTCTAGAAGAGCACATGTAACATTCGTTATCATCTTAAAACCATTCATGGCTTGGGATGGTTTATCGCAGAGACTGCCTCTTCCCAATTACAGCAGCCCATGCATTAGATCTGACAGAGAAGGCATGTGGCAGGTACCATTTGCCAGGGACATACATTTGGTTAGTTTCAGAATTGTGCCTTCTCTGCCATGGTGCTCACTCTAAGGATCATTCCCCCGCCTTGAAGTCAGGTTGTCCTTGCTATCATTTGATTAGTCCCTCAAGACCTGATCATGATGCTAAGCCTGGGATGGGGTGGTTTCAGGGAAATGGAAATACATGGCTCCACTGTGGTTAATTTTTAGATTTTTTATAATGTTTTTTGTTCTTAAATAATTATTTAAATTATTAAATTTAAATTTAAAAATTTAAATAGAACAATTCTATTGTTATAATAGTTATATTTTATATATTTCTGTTTTAGTAACTATTGTATGGAATCACTTTTGTGAAATGGATGGCGATATAAATGTCGTTAACAAATAAATATGATTAATAAATATGGACAAAAGGATATGCATGGGTTAGACATCCCTGCTATCCCTGCTCTTGTGGTTCACTGCCATTCATAAGTATTGCAACAGATCTGCTAGATTATTGTGATTCAACTAGCAGGATAACAAATTTTACTACATAAGGAGAATCTTATTTTCTTAAATTTACAGAGATAATCCCTTTCAGAAATTTTTGCATAGTCACAAAATAAGTACCTAACTTTTTTTCTTTGAATTATTTTTCTTATTATACCAATGATGAAAATAAAAATGAAGATGTTATATTCTAAACCACATTAGGGCCTTTCTTTATCTATATGCAATGCTACAATGGAAATAAACTTATTAAAGCCATGGCTGTGAAATAATATAAAAGTTAAGTACCTAATGGAGTAATCTTCTGTAATATAATAGATTTCACGAACCATGATTTTTCCAGACAGAACAGAGAATGAGAAGGATCCTGCAATAAAAAGGAAGTTTCTGTTAAATCGCAGAATACCAAGCAATCCTTTTAAGTTCTCAAGATGTACTTCCCAACTTTTCAGAAGAATCCAATTAAAGCATCCTAGAAAATGAATATCTAGCTTCTGCACAAATGAAGGGCAACCTATCACAATGATTAAGAGAAAGAGTGGGTCAACAGTTTAAAGGTTTAAAGATTTATCCTATCCAGTTGGGACCGACTCAAGCAGGCAGTCCTCATCTTCAATTCTTAGCCAAGACAGCCTGCATTGTCTGAGAGACACTTCCAGCATCACGTGGCCAGCATGAAAATATGGAAACGCAGTAACCTTCCCACCAAAGCTGTCCCTATTTATCTACTCACATTTGAAACTGCTGGACTGACAGGAGCTGGGATGAGTAACTGGAGCTCACCCTGACACCCAGCACTCGGATCTTTAACCCAGGCTGTTGCCTTTTCAGCTGGCAAGCTCAGTGTCTTAACTTCTGAGCTATTCTTAATCATATACCATTATCAATCTTAACCGCTTTTCTCAGTTCTCTTCCCCTTCCATAGTTTTTCTCAGATAATTTTGAATCTCTAAAGGCTGCACTTACTGTGCAAAGAGATATGTGGGGGCTGATTTATTTTGTGTCATCCTACTGTTTGTCCTGAGCAATAAATATTATTCTTTACTGAAACACTGATACTGAACAGATTATAGAAGATCTAACAAGAAGAGTGTAATGGAAATATCCCATCTCAAGCAATAGAAAACAAAAATTAAAGGTTCAGTTCAATTAGTTCTAATATAATGGGTGGATATCCTCAAAGCCTAAGAAACTCAAATTCCAAGCTCAAGCATAAACTTTAACCTCTCTTTCAACAGTGCTTCTAAAAGGGGAGGAATGAGGGATCCCATTTTGTATTTGCTGTATCTTCTTTCTTAAGGAAGGGAGAGAGGCCTCTTTCTCTTCTGGCTCACAAGGCAGTTAACAAAGCCAAAATTTGAATAAGAGATATAGGAAATACCATCTATCTAAGAACTAGCAGAAACTATGAAAGAATTAAAATATTTATTTTGTTTTACAGAAAATGATGATGTAGTGCTTTTATGTTCCCCTTTTGGTCCTATTTGAGAATAACAACCTTTAAATACCAATCAAACTTAAAACGATTCCTGGGTGGAAAGAAACTTCTCAAGGAAGGAAAACCTTTTTCCCAAACAAAATTAATACTTGACTCAAAGAACGCTCCCAAGGAAGATATTTTCCCACACTCATTTGTTCAGGAGTTAGCGAACATTTAGTGTTCAAATTACTGATCTTTAGATAAATCTATTCCATTTGCATCCCATAACTGCCATGATGTATTACCATGCATGGACATGCAACTGATTGAATTGATCCCTCTGACTCCATCAAGCAAAGGTTCCTAAGTTTTTTCTTTCCTACTGTATTATGCAAAACTGGTGAGGTCATATTCAGTATATATACTGCAATCACCTATTTTATTCCGAGGAGGAATCCCTCACTACATGTGCATTCATGAGGGGAAAAGAGGCAAAATTTCCAGGTCTTCTTAGTTTATCTAACTGGGGAGAGTGTTCCAAAGATAAAGTCCTTTCAGTGTGAAAGGCTAATTAAATTAAGAAATTCAAGCTTTTGTTATGTCTATCAATGTTTCAGAAATGGTTAGGAGTCAAAGAAAAAGACAAAAAAGTGTTTCTTCAGCGGATATTTAGCCAATAATGCATATACACAGAGATCCAAGAGAATAAAATCAAAGGATGGTTAAAAAAACGACAACTTGAATAATTTTTCATAAAACAAAATTTAGGTTTCTAATTTGCAATAAACTTATACAAGCTTTTAGATGGTTCTAAATTTCTTAGATTTCCAGGAATTTAGCCTCATTTGCCAGGCTCTGAGTCAAACAGTAAAAACCTGCTCTGTTTCTTCCATTAACATACAGATAAAATATAATAAAATCTTTACAGGAGAGAGAGGGAAAACAACCCAGTACTGGATGATTGCTTGGAGTTTATGTTTCTGGACTCTCATGGTCTTTTTTTTTTTTTTTTTTTGAAACTTAAATTTTGCAGCTAAATGAACTTGAAGCTTAAGTCTTTTACCTCCGAATCTCTTTAAATGCGATATTCTCCCGATCCAATAAAACAGTATATATTGCATGTGCAGTGACTCAAGAAAAGTCTTCAGTGTAAAAAGCCTTGCTAAGAGTCCATGCATGACATGACTACACCCCACAGTGGATGAAACTAATATTTTGGTTGATATTTGACTTATATTCCCAAATTCACAATATATAGGATACAGGAGACATTTCACCTGTGCAACAGCAGTCCAGATATTAACCTCACCATTGCAATGTAATCTCAGCATGGGGTTAATCTTTTCATCACATTGATAATAAAATAATTGAACGTATTTGTTTTTCTCTTGCTGAAATCAATATGTAACATATTACATAAAATATGTAAAAATATGTAACACTGCTGACTTTTTATCAATATAATATTACGAATGTGATTCCGAATATACTGGCATTTCATATTTAAATCAAGATCACTTACCAATATGGATATAGCCATTTTTATGTAATCTGTTAAGGATCAATGTTAAAATGAAACCAATGTTTCGGGAATTGTAATAAGTTAGGTAAATAATCCAGGCACAGGACAAAATTGTAGCTGCAAAACAAATATTAATACATTTAGAGCAATGGAAATTATTTTTTCAAAAACACGGAAGTTATATATTTGTAACACAGAAACTCTTTGGAAATGAAAGAGATATGGACTACCACAGACTCAATGGGAAGCAATATTACCAAATTATTTAATGGTAAATGGGTTCTTGTAACCAGCTATACGGTAGCCATTTTGCAAGGCTGCTCTATTCCTAAAATTCCAAATATTCTCACTGGCATACAGTGGCTGAGGACATACATCATTATCTCCCCTCCTTGCCCCAATCTCATGTGTAAAATAGCTTTATAAAACAGTTCCACATAAAGCTATATGGTATTATTTTGAAATAGCAATGTCAATTGGTAATTATATGTTTTAAATCGCTTGACTGCCTTAACGGAAGCTTCATTCTAACCAGATTACCGCAGATAACACTACATTTCAAATGCTGTATTATTTTTTTTGCCTACATATTGACTATGTTCTATATTGTGCACTATACATGATCCAATAAATGGTATATTATATACATACAAATATAACTATTTAAGCTATTACAAATCAATAAAATGTATATAAAGAGTTTATATGAAGCAAAAGGTATTTTAATGTTTAAATTTCAAGCTGATATAAAAAGAACTTAAATAAACTTAAAGATGGAAAATTAAGAAGCTACATGAAACTGTATTTAACATTCCACTAACTCCAGTTTTGAGATTAGTAATTAAGTTCTGTTTAAAATCACCCAGAATAAAATCAATGTTTTCTAAAACAAACATGTAACGTATAGCTGCTGCCAAACATTTAATGTCAGATGAGAAAATAATTAGATATATTTGAAAACATAAGAAATATTTTTACAAACCAAACATTACATACCAACAAGGAGCCAAACAACATTTGAGTTATGTTCAGTGAGGAAATTTTCCAACTGAGTGATACTGGGAACAATGCTAACATTATTATTTCTGTCCATTCTTAGAATCTTTCAGCAGGGTCTAGATGACTGTAAAGAGAAAAAACAAATGGGAGTATCATTTTGAAAAGTGCTGTTGAAGTGATTTGTTTGAGATATATGTAACAGAGATCAACCACAAAATTAACACACAAAATTAATGTTATGGCCTTTAAGCAGCATCTATAGGATGACAGAAATGCTATTTCATTCAGTAGGATTCATAGGGACAGCTTTTGTGATAGTGGAATATACGCTAAACAGCAAGAAACGGAATGATAGCTTATTGAAGTAAAGAGTTAGTAACAAGGTGAAAATAATTTTCTTGCTATATACATATTACATTAAATATGTGATCACCTTTCATATTTAAATATCTTTATTTTCATTTTTAAAATACAACTGTTAGTTTCTGATCAAGACTGGGGTCAAAACATTCTTTTAGACCTTGACATACCCAAACAAAAATCACTTCCAAAAACTATGCTTTTCAATTAAAAGGACCATTGATTTACCTGAAGGGTCGTTTTCAGGGCACTGCGAAGGAGAGTCCAAGCAAGGGTTAAATACAGCCAAACTGCCCAGAACTGAATTGAAACTTTAAGCCACGCCTCTGGTGCTGACTATCTTCAGATTTTTTCAATGAAGACGTGGAACTGTTGCACGCTGAGTCCAACAACGAATCAAAATCACTCTCAACAATAACAAGTCGAACAGGAACTGCCAACTTTGAAAACTGAGAACAGCAGAGCTAGACCCCCTGGGTGGGGTGGACTCTCCTTCGCAGCGCCCTGAAAACAACCCTTCAGGTAAGTCAATGGTCCTTTTCCAGGGTGCTGCTCAGGACAGTCCAAGCAAGGGACATACCCAAGCTAAATGTCACTAGGGTGGGAAGCTGCAGCAGTCAGGGTCTCTCCGCTGGTATGAATGCCCTGAAGCACACGCCTCCCAAAGGCCCTTTCCACTGAAGCAAACTTGTCCAACTTATAATTCCATACGAACAGAGATAGAGAAGTCCAGGTGGCAGCCTTCAAATTTCCTCAATCGGAGTCCTGGTAGCCCAGGCTGCCGTGGTGGCAGCGCTCCTAGTAGAATGTGCCGTGATACGACTAGGCACAGGTTTAGATTGCAGGACATGAGCGAGGGCGATGCAGGCCCTCCACCCACCAATTGTAGAGGAAGACACCTTCCTGCCCTGGGAAGACGGTTGGAAAGAGATGAAGAGTGATTCAGAACGATGAAAACTGGCCGTACGCTTGATATATCTACGAAGCGCCCTGCGGACATCCAGCTTGTGCCATCACTTCTCCCTGGGATGCCTGGGATGCGGACAGAAATCAGGGAGAATTACCTCCTGAGCCCGGTGAAACCAGGAGTTTATCTTAGGGATGAACGATGGATCCAGACAAAGTATCACCCTGTCCTGTAAAATCAAGCACAAGTCCTCCTGGACAGACAGGGCAGCCAGTTCAGAGATACGCCTAGCAGAAGTGATGGCAATCAGAAAGGCAGTTTTAAATGTAAGGTGTTTCATGCTGATCGTCCAGATAGGCTCAAACAGAGGCTCTGTGAGAGCACGCAAGACAACGGTAAGGTCCCAAGTCGGATATATGTGCACCGTTGGAGGGCTCAAGTTGGTAGCCCCCGAGGAAACTGCGGATGGTAGGATGATGACCAAGAGAAGCCTGCCCGTCAGGAGCCAGTGTGGTGGAAAGAGCTGCTACCTGACGGCGAAGAATATTGGGCGCCAGTCCCTTGTCAAGGCCATCTTGCAGGAAGTCCAGGATGACAGGAACCGAAGCCGAGGAGGCTGATAGGCCGCAGGCAGAGCTCCAGCTGACGAAGGCCCTCCAGGTAGCGTCGTAGATCCGGGTTGTGGAGGGACGCTGAGACGCTTGGATGGTACAGATCACCTTGGTCAAAAAGCTGCCCCTGCTCAGGAGATCCCTCTCAAGTGCCAGACGGCTAGTTGAAGCCACTGGGGTTCCAGATGTTTAAGATTCCCCTGGCTGAGAGAGATCTCCTGCGGAGGAATCCGCCAAGGGGGCTTGACGGAGAGACTCACCAGGTCCATGAACCAGGTTCTCCTGGGCCAAAACGGCGCCACCAACAGGACCTCTACTGCCTCTGACAGGATCTTCCTGATGACTCTGGGAAGAAGGGGTAATGGCGGGAATGCGTAGATCAGGCCCCTCGGCCAAGGGGAGTGTAGAGCATTGATGCCTTCTGCACATGGGTCGTGGAACCTCTTGAAAAACCTGGGGAGGTGAGAATTGGCTGCGGTGGCGAACAGGTCTACCTGTGGACACCTGAAACTCTGGGACAATCGCTGGAACAGATGAGGATGCAGGCGCCACTCCAAGTGGTCAACTGTGGCCCTGCTCAACCAGTCCGCTTGGGTGTTGGTCGTGCCAGAAATGTGTTCCACTTGAACGGAGAGAAGGTGCTTCTCTGCCCACTGACCCAGTAGATCGGCCTCCAACATCAAGGATCTGGAGTGCATACCTCCCTGGTGGTTTATATGTGCCTTCGTTGAAACGTTGTCCGTCAACACCCTCACGTGACATCCCCGAATGCCAATCTGGAAGTGAAGCAGGGCCAGCCTGACCACCCTCAGCTCCAGCCAATTGATACTGTGAGCGGCCTCAGTTGGGGACCACCTGCCCTGAGCCAGCTGGTTCTGAAAATGCCCCCCCAACCCAACAGGCTGGCATCCGTCCTAACGGTGAGACATGTTGGCTCCTTGGGGATCCCTTCGACAGAGCTGGAGACATTCACCACTTGAGCGACCGACATACCTCGGCAGAAACTGGAACGAGCTTCATCAAGCTGCTCTCGTTGGCCCTCTGGTAAGGGAGCAGGAGCCACTGAAGCGGCCGGGAATGGAGTCTTGCCCAAGGGACGATGGACAGGCATGAAATCATCTTGCCGAGGAGCTGCGAAAGCTGAACAACCCTGGCCTGAGGAAGCTGTTGCACGTGTGCGACCTTCTCCCTGAGGTTCGCCACACTCTCCGGCGACAGGAAGACCTGGCAGGCGATGGTGTCGATGACAGCACCTAGATGTTGTAGCCTGGTATTCGGTTGCAGATGACTCTTTTCCATGTTTATGGAAAACCCGTGAGCTTGAAGCACTTGGATGGCGTGTTCCAGGTCCAAAAGCACCTGCTGGGCTGATGACGATTGAATGAGGACATCGTCCAGATAGTAGTGCAGTCTCACTGGATGGGATCTGAAGCAGAAGGCTGCCACAGCCATGAGTATCTTTGTAAACATCCTGGGTGCCGAAGACAGGCCGAACAGCAGGGTTCAATACTGGTAATGGCGGCCGGCTTAAGCAAACCTGAGGTAGCGATGGTGGGCTTTACAAATAGGAACGTGGAGGTAGGCCTCCTTGAGATCTATGGAGGTCAAGATGTCTCCTGGTCTGATGCATCCCAGAATGGACTGCAGGGACTGCATCTTGAACCTCCGGTAAGTGATGTGATAATTTACATTATCTAAGAATGTATAATAATTTACATTATCTAAGAAGACAACGACTTAGATGGTTTGGACACGTTTGCCGTATGGACAATAGCCGATTACCTTACCGATCGATTAACT